GAAGTCCACCCAACTAACAATTTTCGCAAAGTAAACGCTTTACTCATTTCATTTATACAGCCTCAAACTGTATTCAAATGTTATACGTTATGAGGAAACCTTTATTCAACTTCTATCCAAGCAAATCTGGCGAACTTAGTCAGCTACTTATGGCTTTTGGGACGGTTGGGACAAGCTCTTATTGCATATTCATTAACGCTTATATACAGCTGTTATCCTGCTGTTTAGTTGTGTGTGGACTTCCTTCTCCCGGTTATCCAATAATCACTACACAGCTTTGTCTTGAAGCCGGGTTAATTATTGTCCACGATATTTTTTAATGAAGGAATTTATTGAGTTTATATTTTTTGCTGTAAATCAAATTAATCCAAATTAGTTACAAGCAATACCACCAAATTAATTACCCTGCACCGGAAATCTGGAATCGAACTCGAGACGACCGCATTGGTAATTCTTGACACTAACAACTGTGCTACGCCAACACTTTGAACTGATGCAAAAAAATCAACATGCCCTTCTACAACAAAATCGCTGAGTAGAGGCTTTATAATAGTGCACATGACTCATTTTTCTCGACTACCCAACTAACAATTTTCACAATGTTAACGCTTCCCAACTAACAATTTTCACAATGTAAACGCTTTACTCATTTCATTTATACAGCCTCAAGCTGTATTCAAACGTTATACGATATGAGGAAACCTTTACTCAACCTCTATACAAGCAAATCTGGCGAACTTAGTCAGCTACTTATGGCTGTTGGAACGGTCGGGAGAAGCTCTGTTATCCTGCTGTTTAGTTGTGTGTGAACTTGAAAAGCGCTTATTCAACCTTTTCCCGGTTATCCAATAATCACTACACAGCTTTCTCTTGAAGCAGGGTTAAATACTGTTTACACTTTTTTATGAAGGAATTTATTGAGTTTATTTTGCTGTGAATCAAATTAATCGAAATTATTTACAAATCATCACCAAATTATTTACCCTGCACCGGAACCTGGAATCGAACTCGAGACGACCTCATTGGCAAACCTTGACACTACCAACTGTTCTACGCCAACACTTTGAACTTGTGTAAACAAATCAACATTCCCTTCTACAACAAAATCGCTGAGTAGAGGCTTTATAATAGTGCACACGAATCACTTTTCTCGACTAGTTATAAAAGAGCAGAGTAAAAGCTGTAAAACTGCACAGGTCTAAAAATAAACCTAGTTGACTGTGAAAATGCTGCCGAAGTTGCTCTAACACAATTTATAAGCTGAGTACAGGTTGTTTAGTTGTTGAAAAAGCACTTTTGATGTTTATGTTATTCAGCAAGAGTGGTTGGTTGTTTAGAAGCCATCAAATGAGTAATATATTCACTTTATTAGCTTTGTTTTGCAGCTACAAGTTGAAAGTTGATTAGGATGTGTATAAAAGTGACATTAGCGTTTATTGGCTGTTGTTATTCAGTGAGATTGGTAAATTGAATAATGGTTGTGAAAAAGTTGAGTAAACGCTCTCTCTACAATACAATTTTGCTAGCTTCTGCTTGTAGCTGTATCTGCAGCTTTTTTTCAGCTACTTTATAGCACAACGCTGCAAAAGCTGGCTTACAAAGCAGAAAATGTGTAAACAAAACTTGTGTGGTACTTTTCGCGCTAACCCAAAGTAGGAGGAATTTCAAAACATAACTAATTCTCGTTTTTATCACAAGGCTAGCTCTTTCGACTGAAGAGTAATGAAGAATATCCGTCAAACACTTCCGAAAACATGTTTTGATACAAAACAGTGCCAAAATCAAGAGAAAATTCATGAAGTCTCCTGGGTAGCAAACTTGAATTAATCAATTCTTTATTCATCAGAACAACACTATCAGAATGAACCAGGGGAAGCTCATAAGTTTTGACAGGCGCACCGGCGCAACCATCGGTAATTCTTTGGTACAAACAACGTATATATTTACCTTTTTTTGACAAAATCAAGGTTATCATGACGTTTGATTATTGAAAACAATATTAATGAAGAAAAGAGACCAACTGCTGTCATGATTACCTGAGATTTGTCAAATAATGTTAATATTTACACCGATTGTATCGAAGAATTGAGAGATTTACAACTGACAAGAGAGTGAGAGCGAGCTTTTGCGCTCTCTTTCTCCAGTACTCTCTTTGCCTGCAATCAGATATCCAAGTGCACAGCGAGAAATGCACGCTTTAAACACCCATACATCACAAATGTTCCTCTAATTTAAACTCACACACTCAAACCGGTCTGCAAGTATGATACACGTCCAAATCGTACCAGACTGCTAGTCGTGCAAACCAATGAGCTGGATTATCGAGGTGAAGCAATCGGTTAAGTTGTGTGAGTGAAACCAATGTAAGATACAAGCAATTAGTGACGTTGCGTTTACGTTGATTTTTCGGTTTACTAATACCACCATATTTCACGATCTGCTTCAACTCACTCTGTACCTCATTGATGAAAACCGCCATGTATTGTGGAAAATTTAGTGATATGTTTCAAGAGGTGGTAGAAGGTCTGCTTGGCTTACATCAGGCATTTCACCATTCACAAACTTGCCACCCGCCACCCAAAAAAGCTCGCTATTAGGTGCACTATTTAACGAGTTTTGTCATGGTAGTGATATCGACATGCTTAGAAATCAATGCTTTAGAGATTAGGCAGACCATCCCAACTGAATTTAATTCTTTTTGAAGCAAACCAAGGTCGAAGATTTCATTGAACCACACTATAAAATAGTGTATTCATGGTCACATGTGGTCTGGAGTAAAGAAGTACAGCTATAATGTGATCAAAAAATCTATTAAAATCTAAACGCATTTTTTTTTAAATTATTTACACCACATGTGGACGCGACGCCACTGTAGAAAACATGTCTAGAGTTTTTTTTTCCTATGATTTCTGAGCTACAGAAGTTTCTAGGGTAGATAGGGGCAATATGGTCCCCCTAAGGAAAACACATCATAAAACATGAAAAACATTCATAAATGTATGATAGCTGTGATCAACTCATGCTTTGGAATATGCTTGATAGAATACAGTATTCAAAACTAAGATAAAATATGATACACGCATTAAATTTATATGTGATTTAAAAAAAAATCTGAGGTCTAGGATCTTTTCTACGAATTGACCACCTTTACGAATGTTTGGATCTTTCGGAGGACCGTTCCGTGGCTACCAGAGTACACATACTGGTTTCAAATCCAAATTCATCCATGCAGCATCACAACAAGTTGATTACAAAAATCTAGATCCTTTTTTACTAATTTTCCACATTTACGGGCGTTCCGGGTCTTCCAGAGGAACGCTTTGCTGTCGCTTGGGTTCACATTTTTGTCACAGATCCAAATTTATTCATTTAGGGGAAATGGATGTAATGTCGGCCTTACTGCCCCTATTTTGGGCCCATACATAAATTTAGTAACCGACTAAATTTTCAATAGCGACCAAATATGTCCACTAGTATCGTCCCAATGACGCGTTCATCTAGATAAAATTGAAAAATAGCAGATTTTTAGAGATGGGCTCAATCTTAGAGCCATTTCCTCTATCATTTTCCACAATTTTCAAATGGAAAACAAAATTGACATTTCACAGATAGCAACGCTTGGGTAGGTTGCTATCGCGCTGCTATATTTGTCAACCCTCTGTTGATCAAGAGGCAGATTGCTATTTCCCACACTTGAATAGTAACCCCCGCTGCGGTTGCTGCGTTATGGTGGAGGTTGCTAAAATAGCTTGGTGAGACTGCTCTACATACCTAGAAATAACTAATTATACACGTGACGGAATCCATCAATGACACAAAAGATCAGACGGAAACCAATATTTAATGTAAAATTAAGTGCTCTGAGACTGAAAAATTCGTTTCTCGACAAAAAGCACGTTTGATTGAGTTGAATTTCGCATCTGTTGTGACTCTATTTTATTTTAAAATTGACGCTCGTATATGTCAGTCCAGAGCACCTAAATTTACATGATACGACAGGTAATACGTCTTTATCTATTTAGTTTCCCCAAGCGTTGGAAGTCGAGTGATCAACATACGGGCCTCATAATCTCAACGTCCATGGTTCGGTTCCAGTCTGCTACGTTTTTAGATTTTTATTATCAACATTATTTTAATAAGGCAAATTAATGATATTCATATCGATTTCTTGTGGCTAAATTTCATAAGTGCTTCAAATGGAATTCATACGTTTTTTTGCCTCAGTGTAGGAAGCATACATTTATAAATGCCAATTGGCTTTATCTATCTTATTCTTCTATTGAATTTCACTCGTTACGTTATGTCCCATTACAATTCTAGTGTGCATTATGCCCCACTTAGAGTTGAAAAAAAAAACGAATTTCCACAATTTTCAACGGAAATAATAATAACAGCTCAGATAATAACAGCTGCCTAAATCACCAGTTGCAGTAGCAGGAATATTTATTTATTCATAGTTCAAACAATGTTACGATTGATACCTTCACCTTCCTAGCCCACGTTTTGCATCCATTTGAAAACCCAATATTTATCATGTCGTCAACAAACTGTTCTCAATATTTGTCCACTTACCACTTAACCTTTCCACAACCCTCGCACTCCCTTCAATTAGAACAACTCTAGTAATTATCACTCTTGCATCGGACATTTGTCGAACCATACCTACCATCCATCCCATCAACCTACCGACCGGCGACGGACGGTTTCTTAATAATTAATTAAGCAATTAGTTTTCAAATCAATCTTCCGACCAAACCATCACCCACGGAAAAGTCACCCACCATTTTCCGGGTGGAATTCAAGCGGAAGGAAAAGAAAAACTTCCCAAGGGACCAACAGTTTTCCACTTGATTATCATCGACCTTCGCCTGCCGACGGACACGTAGGCTACCATTCATTGGTGAGTTGTTGCCGAAGGGGTTACGCCACATTGAAATTAAATTTTTCAACCCTCCGTTTACCGAGAGGTGGTCACCAAGCAAGGAAGAAAAATTACTCACCTTTCTGACGCAGAAACCGTTGGCCCGTTGCTGTTTGCTCGATCACGTGGTAGTCGGGGCATGCAGCTCTAAATGAGGTTGATTTTTGCCGACTGGCAAACCCGAGAATAATTTATTTATTACGGGGCTGTTCTTTAGCAAAAAAGGCCGTTTAGTGCGAACACTGCTGCGTACTCATTATTCACCGAAATTTACTTCACTGCTGACTCGGCGCTGACTTTGACTGAGTTGCCACGGTCACCCTTGGTAGGAAAAATTGAGCTTGGAGGTTCCAATTTGAATGCGGTCTCGTTTGGCTGTGGAGTGGAAAGTAAATGAAAAGTTCGTTAGTAAAGTTCCTGCTTCGATCGACGTGGTTCGTCTGCATTCTCAGTCCGGAAGGGAGAAAGACATTTGCTGATGGAGAAGTATTTGGCAAATATTGCCACCATGCTCAAGGGGATTGTAGAGAGCATGGGAAAAAACTGGACGGCTCCCTGCATTGGGGGGTGGTTTAAGTTTGAATGAAATAGTCAGCGCGAAGGAGTATTACTCCAGAGGAAAATCAAGCGTGAAGATGAGTTCAAAAATGCCAAACGAATCTCGTTGGACACAAAATGAAGTTTTTAAAATGGTATAAGTAATGCAATGGTTTGTTTTTTCCCAGAGGGATGCAAATGTTCATGAGTGAAAGGGTAGGAATTTTTAATTCAGATGAAATGAAGTTTGTTTATTTAAATCTTAGAAACACTACATCATCAGTTATGATTTCATGGTAAATGTTAATACCTTACTAGCCTTTTTTGATGCCTTAAGAACACTCTACTGTCCATAAAAGCACATCATTCTCATCAGGTAAATCAACAAGGCTTGAAAAACGCTGTTGAAAATGTGTTTCTTCACATGCTATTATAGATGGGACAACCTAGGTTTGGTATTTTCTAGGATATTTTCATGTAGCTTTTAGTGCACCATGTAAAATGCCGGTAATTTACAATCGATTCTAATGGATTACTCATTTTTAACAAAAACTTTTTTGGAACTGTAATGCCTTTATGGGCAATATGGGGATGTTATAAGGTCGGTTAATGCTGGGTAATGCGCAATACAGATCCCATTGAGATCACTAGCCTCTTCCCAGCAACTCCTATCCCTACCTCCCCGTGGTACCGGCCGGGAACTGTGAGCAATCTTAGGGAAGATCGGGTAACCAACCCCGGTGTGAACTTTGGTCATAGGCTGACAGGGAAGGGGGGGTTTGCTTCGGCAAACCTGAGCGTCTGTTCTGCAGGAGGAGCGGCTCACAACAGCGTCTGTTCCCCATGTTAGGGGCGGCTGATCTACGTCCGAGTGCCAGTTAAGGACTCTAAGCACAACTGTGCACCCAGGTCATCCGGAAAGTTAGGGGGTTGGTGTCAGGCCCTGTGAGCCAGCCGTAAAAAAGCATTGCAACGGAAAATCAGCAACAGAGGAATACGAACCGAGGCCAACGGCAACGACCCCAGCGACGAAATAGGACTTGCGATTGGAAACTCGGCACGTGGAACTGTCGATCTCTCAATTTCATCGGGAGCACCCGAATACTCGCCAATCTATTGAAGGACCGCGGATTCGACATCGTAGCGCTGCAGGAGGTGTGTTGGACAGGATCCATGGTGCGAACGTTCAGAGGTAATCATACCATCTACCAGAGTTGCGGCAACACACGCAAGCTGGGCACAGCTTTCATCGTGATGGGCGAAATGCAGAAGCACGTGATCGGTTGGTGGCCGATTCTTCAACTTTAGCATAATCAACGTGCACAGCCCTCACTCCGGAAGCACTGATGATGACAAGGACGCATTTTACGCGCAGCTCAACCGCGAGTACGATCGCTGCCCAAGCCACGACGTCAAGATCATCATAGGAGACCTAAACGCTCAGGTAGGCCAGGAGGAGGAATTAAGACCGACGATTGGAAAGTTCAGCGCCCACCAGCTGACGAACGGGAACGGCCTACGACTCATCGATTTCGCTGCCTCCATGAACATGGCCATACGTAGCACCTTCTTCCAACACAGCCTCCCCTATCGTTACACCTGGAGATCACCACAGCAGACAGAATCGCAAATCGACAACGTTCTGATTGATGGACGGCACTTCTCCGACATTATCGACGTCAGGACCTATCGTGGCGCTAACATCGACTCTGACCACTACCTGGTGATGGTCAAACTGTGCCCAAAACTTTCCGTCATCAACAATGTACGGTACCGACGCCCGCCACGGTACAACCTAGAGCGACTGAAGCAACCGGATGTCGCCTTAGCATACGCGCAGAATCTCGAGGCAGCGTTGCCAGAGGAGGGTGAGCTCGATGTGCCCCCTCTAGAGGACTGCTGGAGTACAGTAAAAGCAGCCATCACCGACGCAGCCAAGAGCACCATCGGGTACGTGGAAAGAAGTCGACGGAATGAATGGTTCGACGAGGAGTGCAGAGCGATTTTGGAGGAGAAGAACGCAGCGCGGGCGGTAATGCTGTAGCATGCAACCCGAAAGAACGTGGAACGGTATAAACAGAAGCGGAAACAGCAGACCCGCATCTTTCGGGAGAAAAAACGCCGTCTGGAAGAAGCGGAGTGCGAGGAAATGGAACTGCTGTGCCGTTCCCAAGAAACATGGAAGTTCTACCAGAAGCTCAACGCATCCCGCAACGGCTTCGTGCAGCGAGCCGAAATGTGCAAGGATAAGGACGGGAGCCTCTTGACGGACGGACGTGAGGTGATTGAAAGCAGCAACAAAGCAGCTGGTAAGGATGGTATCGCAGCCGAACTCATCAAGATGGGCCCAGAAAAGTTGGCCACTTACCTGCACCGGATGATAGTCAGGATCTGGGAAACAGAACAGCTACCGGAGGAGTGGAATGAGGGGGTAATCTGCCCCATTCACAAGAAAGGCGACCATTTGGAATGTGAAAACTTCAGAGCGATCACCATTTTGAATGCCGCCTACAAAGTGCTATCTCAGATCATCTTCCGTCGTCTATCACCTAAAATGACCGAGTTCGTGGGAAGTTATCAAGCCGGCTTCATTGACGGCCGATCGACAACGGACCAGATCTTCACCGTACGGCAAATCCTCCAGAAATGCCGTGAATACCAGGTCCCAACGCATCATTTGTTCATCGACTTTAAGGCGGCATACGACAGTATTGACCGCACAGAGCTATGGAACATCATGGACGAGAACGGCTTTCCTGGGAAGCTGATCAGACTGATCAAAGCAACGATGGACGGTGTGCAAAACTGCGTAAGGGTTTCGGGTGAACTATCCAGTTCATTCGAATCTCGCCGGGGACTGAGACAAGGTGACGGACTCTCATGCCTACTCTTCAACATTGCTCTAGAAGGTGTAATGCGACGAGCCGGGCTCAACAGCCGGGGTACGATTTTCACGAAATCCGGTCAATTTGTGTGCTTTGCGGACGACATGGACATTATCGCAAGAACATTAGGAACGGTGGCAGAACTATACACCCGCCTGAAACACGAAGCAGCAAAGGTCGGACTGGTGGTGAGTGCGTCAAAAACAAAGTACCTACATGCTAGTAGGCGGAACCGAACATGACAGGATTCGTCTAGGAAGTAATGTCACGATAGACGGAGATACTTTCGAGGTAGTGGAGGAATTCGTTTACCTTGGATCCTTAATGACGGCTGACAACAATGTGAGTCGTGAAATACGAAGGAAGTCGTGCCTACTACGGGCTGCAGAAGAAACTACGGTCAAAAAAGATTCACCCCCGTACCAAATTTACCATGTACAGAACGGAACCTCTATGGTCCTCTATGGACACGAGACATGGACTATGGTCGAGGAGGACTTGCAAGCACTCGGAGTTTTCGAGCGACGTGTGCTAAGGACGATCTTCAGCGGTGTGCATGAGAATGGTGAGTGGCGGCGAAGAATGTACCACGAGCTCGTTGCACTCTACGGCGAACCCAGCATCCAGAAGGTGACCATAGCCGGAAGGATGCGGTAAGTTGTAAGAATGCCGGACAACAACCCTGCAAAGTTGGTGTTCGCTACTGATCCGGTTGGCACAAGAAGGCGTGGAGCGCAGAGAGCACGATGGACGGAACAGGTAGAGCGTGATCTAGCGAGCATTGGACATGACTGAGGATGGAGAGCGGCAGCCCCAAACCGAGTATTGTGGCGTACTACTGTTGATTACGTCTTATCTTAAATGTGATGTTGTACAAATAAATGCAGGGATGTTATAAATTTAAATTAGTGTTCGATGAATTTCACAGAAAGTAAGGAAACCAAAACTTAAAGGTATGCGACGATCAAAATATCAGTAGTGGTGGCGTAATGAGTTGTGACGAGGACCGGCGTGAGCCTTTTTTGCCGAATATAAAATAAGCTCCACATTAATTGTATGCTAAATTGCCTACCCCATGAGAACTGTTGTTATGTTTTTGAGATCCATAAATAAAAATGAAATATTTTTCATAAGATAGGGGAAATGGCTCTAATGTTGGCCTATGGATCTAAGATTGGGCCCATCGCTAGAAATCTGCTAATTATCAATTTTATCTAGATGAACGCGTCATTGGGACGGTACCAATGGATATTTTTGGTCGCTATTGAAAATGTTGTCGATTGCTGAATTTATGTGTGGCACAAAATTAGGGGCATTTAAGCCAACATTACATTAATTTCCCCTATCACCATTTTCTAAAAACCAGGAGATCAGCGTCTTTGGGAAGTGAAGCATGGCTCACTTAGTAATGGAACAACATCATTTGGATCTATTTCGGAGTTGAATTAACGAATTTGAAAACGGGTTTCACTTAGGTGCATACTGTTCCTTATATTTTTAGAAAAATACGAAACGAATTATTCGTCGCGGGTTTGAAGGAATTCTCGAACTTTTCCCTTAATACGATTCATCAAGCAGCGCACAAAGGTCTCGTCCGCTGTTTTGGCGATTTTGGTCCACCAATTTTTCATCTGAGCTTCTGTTTTGATGACTGTACCTTTTACCTTAAGTTTCCTCTTCATAATTGCCCAGTAGCTTTCAATGGGCCTGAACTGGGGACAATTGGGCGAATTGAGAATTTGCGGAACAAACTGTTAGCATTGTACCATTGTTAACGGCGCCGGTGGTGTAGTGGTAAGCGTGATTATCTCTCACCCCAGAAGGCCTGGGTTCAATCCCAGTTGGCGCCGCCGGGATGTTCTGAGGCATAACATCTCTGATCACGCCTTCCTTCGGAAGGGAAGTAAAGCCGTTGGTCCCCGGTTCATGAGTTGATGGGTCAATAGGTAGGGT